TGCAGGGAGAGGGAGAGAATACTAGTTAGTAGTAAGGGGTGTATCCATTGCCTCGCCCAAATCCATTTCCGCGGTGACGGCCATTTCCACGAGTGTATCCACCACCGTTATAGCCGCGTCCGTGAGAACTGCCGCGAGCTCGTCCACGGTTTCCGCCGCGGTAATTCACCGTTCCCCAGTCGCTGGGAAATGGGGCGGGAACGGGGGCCATGGATAACGATGTGGGAACTGTGGATGATCCGTCGTTGTCATCAGCGATGTTGTGGATCTCCCGGTATTCTTTCGAACCGAGGATCGGGCAGTGGTCGTTATAGTGATCGACGCCGTGACATTCCCCGCAACCCATCATCTGAGGAAATCTCGGGTTACCTCCCAGCCAAGGCCTCCCCTCGCCGCGCTTCTGGGCGTCGATAACGAACGCCGGCGCCATAATGTGTTGCTGGAGTCGGTTATTTGTCGCGGGGTCTTTCGAGAGGGGGGGTAACATGATGCTATGGGCGAGCTTGGTAGTAGAGATTCCGAATTTACCGCTTTGGTGAACAGGAAACGTGGAAACTGTTGCATGGTAGATAGCGGCGGCAAGAATGAATGCGGGGGGATGGTCACCCGAAAAGTTAGAGTGGTCTTCTCTAACCATCGGATAATTTACCTCACATCTCAATGCATCCCTCAATTTATGCAAATTGTATTTAGAGGTGAGACTAACAGACATTGAAGAATGGATTGAAATTTGGTCGTTGAGCACGTAGGTCTGTTACTCATGCACTATTAGCGGAAGGCTTGGTGTCGCAGAAGGTCTACAATACAGCGCAAGGCTCGCTATGCCCCAATCCATAGTGAATAGGTGGCCTAATAATTGCCGAGATTGTATGGACTTGGTCACCAGGAAATAGGTAAAGGCCAAAGATAAAAATTGGCAATTTACGGCAGTCAAGATTATAGATTACAGAACGTAGTGATCATCGTTTACCAGCGTGTGTAAGGGCTACCACGACTCCGACCATAAGAAAAACCTCTGCCGTTGTAACCCGGGTTCCTGCCAGGGCCTCGATAAAATCCACGAGCACGACCTCGACCTGCACCGCGGTACACAGAATTGGAGGATGATGTAGAGCTACTGCTCCGTCGTCGTTGAGGGCGTACCAGGCGGCATCGGTGGTCGTGTGTCCGTAGTGGGCCTTGTACGAGTCGGAGTTAGTGATGAGGCAGTCGTCCTTGTAATGGGCAACACTGTGGCACTCAGTGCACGACATGAGCAAACCCCTCGAGTTGCGCCAGGGGGTGGCGGTACCCTGGAGAGGGATATTGAACGCGAATTCGGGTCGCATGAGGTGTCGTTCAAGGACTGCTGTCTGGGATGCGTCGGTTGACAGCGGGGGGAGGATGATGGAGAAGGCAGTCGTCGGTGCACTGTTGGGTTTGGAGCTGACAGCGCATTTGTGAATCTTCGCAAATACGACTAAGATGCGAAAGATCATCTCGGGTTTCGGTTCGTTAGGAACGTACGAGTGGTCAGCATGAGCCGTGTTGACAACGAACGGGTCCGAGAGGAGCGCTGTGAGAAAGGCCGACTTAATTTCGTCCTCGGTCGTGAGGCTGGAGAGGCCATGGTAGGTGAGAATGAGGAAAGGGGGGTGTTCTGGGGTCGGATCAATGAAATAGATGGTGTAGAGACACTCATTGACGGTCCCATGGATGACAGGGTTCGCAAGTGCAACTGCCTTGGTGTCCGAAGAGCAGTCAGGTATAAAATGGCCCCATGGCATGGGAAGGGGAAATTTGATGTCGTTGGTGCCAATGGGTATGGCGCTGAAGACCTTCGGAAAGTTTAGGCCGTTCTGGAGCGAGATTTGTTGAATGATTTCAGGAGCACCCGCTCGGTCTTTGAATTCAGAGGCGAGAATGACGGCGATGAGGAAAGACCCTGGTGAAATCCGGTGTTAGTCGGTGAAATGGCCGGGAATACCGTTGCGCACCAGGGTTCTTCTTAACTGCTTCGATGATGTCAGGCCGGAGACATTTGAGAGCGTTTTCCAGGGACCATCCCAGCACCAGGCGATTGTCCTCTTTTGGACCCGCAAGCGCGGATTCAAACTTGTGGCCCTTGTACTGTCAGTACGTATAAAGCAAATGATTGGGCCGGTACCTCGTCAGTCATGTCGATATCGGGGTTCTTGGGGCGTCGGCCATGTTCGCGGATGTGTACTGAGTAGTAGAATCGCAAGTGGGGGCTGTAATTAGTCGGCGCTCCGCGAATAATAAGTCACCGGCGCCGTTAGTCATTTGGAATGAGGAAATCCCGGATCGAGGGGGTAACCTTGGCATGGTTACACCGCGTCCACGGAGAAATGCGTCGAAAAAGGGCGAATAAGTTACCAGCGGTGCAAGTTGAAACCGGAGCGGGACAATAAAAGGAAAAGTCCAGGGGCGGCATCATGCGAGCTGTCGGCGAGGTCGGATGGCTGAGTAAAACGCCAACGTGTATTGGTAATGTCGTCTTACACACTCGGGCCGCATCGCTGGCGTGCTGTCTTACGCGTACACGTCTCGACGGCATCAGGCGATGTGCTGGCATCGCGGGGGGGAATGGGAGCTAGTGGGAGGGTACAGAGTCAATTGGATGGCCCCGCAATGTACGTCCCAGACGTGGGGCAGTGGGGGAGGGACATGGCATAATGTATGCTCATTTGTGTACTCCCGACGATGGGGTTTTTGAGGCTCGAAGCCACATTTTTATATAGGAGCTCAAAGGCTACCTGCGACTCACGTCACGGCCACAACAGCCATAGGCGGGGGTCACCTTGGCCGCAAAGCCTGGGCGCAAGCCCACTCTCTTGCCCGCTACCCTCCTTCGTCGACTCTCCAGCTGCAGCGGTACAGCGTGGGAAAAGCCGAGATGGTGGTGGTAGTGGATCAAAGAGTCCCTCTACAAATTTTACTTAGTAAGAATTCCCACTCTTTTGTTTTACTATTGTTACACTTTAACAATTTGAAAGAAGTACAAGTATAAAAGCTACATATTTTTCGTCATGTATCTTCAGTTTGGAAATCACATACATTACTGTGTTCTTACTTCTACACAACTGGGTCAGACCTCCGTATCACCTCTGAGTCCTCTCCGAACCTACTTTGTCTTGCTGCAGTCCACAAGCCAGGTAGTCGCACTCTCAGTAGTGCCTGTGAGAACAACTGTTCAAGTACCTCGGACCTCTGAACCACCTCCGAGTGACTTCCCTTCGGAGTCTCCGAGTCCCTTCAGCTCAGCTCTTAACAAGCTTGCTTGTTACACCTCCTTGTGCATCATTACTACTCATGTACTCTCACCCAGTTCACCTGCATGCCATGCATGTTGTGAGTGACTTTTCCCTGGCAATGAGTGCGTGTTTGCTTACCAACCCATTATCACATCTTCATCTATGGAAATATAAGCAGTGGTATGACCAGCATTCACATAAGGATAGAATGTGAATGGCCAATTTAGTGACATACTGGGTGACCCAATGCCAACTCAGCCTGCTTATGAGTGCTCTCACGTACTCAAGCCCATGCTCTGTTCCTGCTTTGCCCTGCATAGCTCAACATCTTGATGCTGTGTCAGCAGGGCTATGGAGGATGTGGACAGCATGCACGGGGCATCATTGCTGCGCCTCCCAATTTGCAGCATTCTGGCAATGGCTATGGTGGCCTGACCTGGGAGAGATGGTGAGAATGCCCAGACAAGGGCTGGGGTAGGGAGTGGAGGGCATGGATTAGTCGAGAGAGCACAGGCAATGCAGGGCTGTGTTATATACCGAGCCGAAGAACTCAGGACCGGAGGGATCGGAGTGACCGGAGGATCGGAGGACCGGAAGATCGGAGGACTGGAAGATCTCCGGGGCTGTATACGGAGGGATCACAACACCACAGGAAGGTAAGGGTGAGTGACTACCTTGACCGGCAGGTAATCCGAGGAGGGGACAGGAGTCGGAGTACCGGAGGGGAGTAGAGAATGCAAGGGCGACTCAGTGCAAGGAGAAAAGCCAATAAACGGGAAACGCTCAGTAATCCTTCATTGCGTAAAAACCCGATTCGTCCGGATGACCGGTGGCTCCGGTCAATGACCAGAGCCTAGGGATGACCGGAGGTTACCGGAATGGCCGGAAGGGAGTCGGTAGAAGGAGGGAGGCTGCATGGATATAACAGGCTGAGCTAATGAGTAAAGCAGCCCCTGTATGTGTAGCATAGAATAATGCAACACACAGGGATTTGACATTGAGGAAGCATATGGGATCACAACCTGCATGCTTGCGTGTTCATCTGCTTTGCCAGGGTCAGGATGGGTTGGGAGAGTGTGGAAGAGCTGAATCACCTGCTGTCTAAATTATGGAGCTCAAAAACTAACCTTTTTGGACAAAACTGAGTTCAGATTCAGATCTGGAGCATCAAAAGGAGCCTAAAAACATACTTCCAAAAATTTTCCTATGAGCTGTTATTTTTCTCAATATTTTGGGCCTGTTGAATGGAATTGTGTGTACCCTTTTTGGACCTTTGGGACGAAAATTTGGTTTATGTCCCATCCCAACAGCTGGAAAGCTGTTCTAATGTTAATCCTTGCATCTCTATTTTTAATCTGTGACAGTGGTGGCGCAATGGGTTCCAGATTGAGAATTTTTTTCTCACAAAAACTGCTCAATGAGATTTTTGAGATCTGAATGGGATCATAATCAGCTCATCAAAAGGTGTCGATTGGTGATTTTTTCACATTTTTGGCTATTTTTTTTTGAGCTGTTCTCAAAATTTTGGGGGCTGATCCTGGAAAATCCATGAAATTGGAAGATTGGCTTGTGCCAATCTCTTCATTTGTGCCTAATTACACTGTAAATGGTCCTTGGGCTTTCGGGAGGAATTCCTCGGACGTGGCATTCAAATTTCCCGCGCTTCCAAAATAGGCGGCTCTTCGGCGCAATAAGACCTTTGTATGTGGGTGAATTCAAGCACTTTCTGTCACGCCCTCATTGACAGGCAAGATGGCCGAGCGGTTAAGGCGTGTGACTCAAGCGAAAGCTTACCTTTCTGGGTTCTCATCACGTAATGTGGCGTGGGTTCGAGTCCCACTCTTGTCATTTTTGTGTCTTTTTTTTTTTTTTTTTTTTTTTGAGTTCTGGAGTTATTCCACCGTCGGTGAGTTGAGAGCTTTGAGAACCCCAATCCTGACTGCCGCTTCCTTTTTTCAGACGCGAATGGTTGCAATTGGTCGATGTCTCTCTGTGGTAGCTTCGCTCACAACCGAGTCCCGCCAGCCTTGGAATACATCGGCAAACACGTCCTAACATCACTGTGAGAATATCGACCACAATTCCCTGCAGAGGGTGAGCAGACTTGAAAGCTTTAAGCAGAATCATTTCATATAGCAGAGAAAAAAGGAAAAGCATCATCAACACCCTGAGGGGAAAAATCAGACTGTAGACTTCATTGCACCACATAGATTTCGCATTAGATTATATAACAACAAGGACAAAGACAGTTAGCCTAAGAAGTTTCACTCCCCCGAACAAACCCAGGCGGCCGGCTGAACCCAGCATCGATCAGTGCCTGCCGCCGTTGGCCAACAGCCTGCGCACAACTATGAGTACGCAAATAATAGATAACAAAAGATTGGAACACTCACGTCGTTGAGCTTGTCCATCATCTCGACCGTCTTCTCCCAGTTGACACACGCGTCCGTGATACTGACGCCCCACTTGAGGTGTTTTGCACCCTCGCTCGGGACGTCCTGCCGCCCGTCGTTGATGTTCGACTCGACCATCACGCCGGTGATGTTACGCTCGCCCGCCGCGAGCTGCGCGCAGATCGAGTCGATCACCAGCGGCTGGTTGTTGTGGTTTTTCTGCGAGTTTCCATCTGCAATTCGACGTGTCAGGCGGAGATATCGGGCTGGAGACAAAGACGGCGTACGGCTGCAGTCAACCATGATGCTCGCCCACTCCTTCTTTTTTGAGATGGCCTTGGCCGCCTCTTTTACGTGTTCACTAGCATAGTTGGGACCCTTGGTTCCGCCGCGGAGGATGACATGGGTGTCTTGATTGCCGCGGGTTTTGACGATGGAAGCGAGGCCTAGAAAACGTTAGCGGCGATCGCACACGGACAAGGGTAGGTCTGACCTTGCTCGGTGACACCCATGAACGCATGCGGCGATCCGGCAGAGAACATCGCATCGATGGCGACCGAGACGCTGGGGAGACAGCTCAGATCTGGCAAGCCGGCGCTATGCAGAAGCGACAAACCTGCCGTCGGTGCCGTTTTTGAAGCCAATGGGAAAAGACACGCCAGAAGCGAGCTCGCGATGCAGTTGCGATTCCGTCGTTCGGGCGCCAATAGCTCCCCAGGATATCACTAGCAAGAAAGACGAGTTTCAGAGTATGCACGACATGCAAGCAGCCAATTCACAATCGGCAAGATACTGGGGAGAAATCGTATCGAGGAGTTCCGAGCCCACCGGAACGCCAGAGTCGGTAATGTCACATAGCAGCTGCCGCGCGATGCGCAGACCTTTATTGATTTTGAAAGAGCCATTGATGTCGGGGTCGTTGATGAGACCCTTCCATCCAACGGTCGTGCGCGGTTTCTGGGGTGGGGTTAGATCTTGCGTCTGATATTGGTCCGTAAAGCAAGTCACCTCGCTGGAGCCGAGTTAGCAGATTAACAGCAGAAATGAACTCAAGTTCGGCTCACAAGTACGCCCGCATGATGATGAGGAGGTTTGACCAGGCAGGGATTTTTGACTTGAGCAAGTTTGCGTACTCGAGAGCCTGTTCTGGTGAATGGATCGAACACGGGCCCACGATGACGAGGACGCGATCGTCATGGCCAGCAACTATCCGTGCAGCATTGTAGCGTGCCGACGCAATGGTCTTTTGGGCGTTCGCCGTGGAGACGATCTCATGTCTGAGCAGCGCAGGCTGGACGAGCGGATCGTACTGTCCTCATGTGAATAGCGCTGTGTGCGCGATGGCTGATGCACCTACACCAATGACACGCCTGTCCTGGATATACTGCTGGACCTTTTCTGCGTCGTCAAAGTCGGGGAAAGGGCTGACGATGTACATGTCGTCCTCAGGGATGGCTGGGGGGTGTTAGAGAAGCAACGGTGGGGTAGGAAGAAGGTACCGAATCGAAAGGCATTTTGGGCGTCTTTTATAGGATTCTGGACTGATGACATTGTGAGCAACGTTCGAGTCAAGTTAGAACGGTTATGTCAGCGCGGCACGTATGCCTAACGTATGTATGCCAACGATTGCCCAAGGAGATGGTGCAGAAACAAGAATCTCAATTTGGCAACTGTGGCTGTGCCCAATGACTCGAGTCCCCGTCCCGCTCAAACCCACCGCAGGGTTCTGCATAAAGTCCTCGTCTCTTCAGCCCTCGGTGCTCCGCATCGCACCTGCTGTCCGCCCGGGCCCCAACTCGCTTGAGCCAGAGGCAACCTCAGTCGCCGTCCCCAAGGGCCGCAAAATATTCATCAACATCGCTTGGGATCCGAATGTCCCAGCTCCACCAGAGGGCAACGAAGATGCGATACAGCGCGCCATGCTCGGAGAGGACGACTCGGACCAGCTCAATCCGGATGCCTGGTTTGTCCCCGTAGTCGTTTCCGACGCTAAACAGGACATGGATAAAGGTCTGTACATGTGTCCGTAACAACTCATGCACGGCCTGTGGACGCTCTTCCTCGGCACCCTGCCAAGTGTCCGATCAGGTCGAGGCGCTGGTGCTGCGATCTGTGTGCACTGCAATGCTCTGTGGCCTGTCTTGCTGACGGATTCCTTGCCAGCCGGCAATCCGTCTCTTGTATTTGACTGTATATACCACTCCTCTATCCGATCACGTTCGGCCCGTGATCCAGCATTCAAGACCTTTATCCAAGGCGCGTTGATCCTCATTTTCGTACACTCGCGAGTTCAACCGTGGCGCATTTGCCAGAGCTGGCCCTTCAACGCATCGAGGCCCAAACTTCCCTGGTCCTTTCGCGGCAGATCTCGACACCTAATATCGCCTCCAAAGGAAAGCTCCTCCCCCGCACCGTCCTCATTCCCTCCTTCCTGTCCTCGTCCCCCCCAATAGCTCAGAAAAAGCCACTGATCGAGGAAGTCGCATCTAACTCCAGTAAATCCGATGCATCCACAAAAGGAATCCTAAAGCCTACCACCGCTGCATCGACACCTAAACTCCCCGTCCAAAAACCAAAACCCGGTACCGCCCCCCTGCGGCCGACATGGAGCTGGTCAAGCGCTGATAGCGGCTCCATCGAGATAACTATCACGGTCCCTCTGCTCGTGCGCCCCGACTCCCTCGTCCCATCCACTCAGCCTGACTAATCTCGCGCACCGCAGACGCACGCGTTGGTTTCTCAGACGACGCTCGACCTGGAGGCACGGCGTCTACTCCTCTCTGTGCCATCGTACGCGCCATTGGACATCAATCTCGACATGTCCGACGCCGAGATCGTCGCCACGTCCGCCGGCGTGGCGGACTCTGGCCACGCTGCGCTAATGCTCAAACGCGAGCGGGCGCTGGACGTCGACGGTGCTCTAGCCGAGTGGCGGGTTGCAGACGGAGCGCTGGTTCTCATTGCATGAACCGCAATTCACTCTACTGTACGATGTGCATCATCCGATAGTATATCCATCCGCTGTCCACCAATTCAGGGTCCATTTTCCGCAATGATTCGTGGTCATGTCGCCCGGGGAACGATGTCTGTCCAAGCCGTCGCTCTTTTGTCCCATTCGATGTATTCTCGTACGTTTCATGATTCTTGAACGAAGTCGGCCGAGATTTGGTTCTTATCACACGGCCGTCTTCGCAATATCTGTACTTATCAAGATGCAGCGGCCACAAGTCCAACCATGCACAATTTATAAGAATACGGCGTTTCGCAGCAAGATGCCTACACATAGCGACACAGCGGGTGAATGGGATATGACTGACGGTTTAATTTGAACGGTTCGATGTCTCTCAAACTCACCAACTAGACGTTAGTCTCACGCCATGATACTGAGAGCTATGAGAGTCGTGATACAGGTATATATAGGTGAACACAACGGGTGAATAAAAATACAGTCCCGAGTCAACTGGGTAGAATTGAGTGCTCGTAGATGGCAAGAAAAGACGCTAGACCCACCAAAAAAAAGCTAGCCTAGTCTTCCATCGCAACATCCTCGTCACCAGTTTCCAAATTCCTAGAAGTCTCCAGACTCCTCGAAACGCCATCCATCACCTCGCTCGCCTTCCTGAACATCTCCGCATTGGCGATATCCGGCAGGAGCTCGCCGCCACCCTCCTCTTTCGCCTTGGCCAGAAGCTGCGCGACGGCCCAGTTGATGTACCCGTCTTGCCCATCTCCCACTGACGCTTCCCGCCCCGTCTGCCTGAACTGGGCAGCGCAGATATCGTGGCGGGCTCCAGCTCCGGGAGGGTCGAGATGGAGGAGTGCATGGCCATGAGTTGGTCAGGCAGTAGCCTGACCGCGTCCACCGTGGTTTCGTACGCAGCCAGACTGTCAAACATCTTTCGCGCTCGCCGGAGCTCGATGGTTTGTCTGTGATTTGCACGTTTGAGGTGGTGCCTCAGTCGCCGTTGCTTGTAGACGATGAGCTTGGCGACACAGCGTGAGCACAAAGCGATGAACCATACATTTTCAATCTGGTTCCGCAACTCCTCCACTTCATCCATAAGCTCCTGCTCGCATTCCGGTGTCTGCGTGAGATCTACGTGTTCATGGTGTGGAAGGACGATGGGCAGGTCGCCGGGACCGCGAATATGTTACGCAGCGACCACGCCTCGAAGAAGTCGAACGCAACATCGGTGTGGAACTCGAGTAGAGTCTGAAAGGCGACGAGGCCCTGTTCGACCTCTTGTGTGCCATCGTCGTCGTCGAGCTGCGCACGCTGCTGCAGAAAGTCCTCGTTCCATTCACTCCATCCTGGACCGCGTGATTCGCGACGTTGATGATGTCGTCGAGAAGAAGTTGGGGGGAGAAGCCGAGAGCCTCGGTGAGTAGCTGGGGCGGGACAAGCTGCTGAGGAGCTTCAGTGATACCCATGTCGCAGCCAAACAACCACACATT